TTCCCCCTTGCTTTTCCAAGAGAGGCCAGCAGGATATACAAAAGACATAGAAAAGCATCATGTTTGTTTCTCTGTCAATTTTAAGTGCTCAGTGTAAAGGATCATTAAAGCCTGACGTGTGCTGTTCAGAAGCTGGCACTGGGGAGGAGCAGGCAAGCCACAGGAGCAGCCCTGCTCGCCCAGGCCAGCACAGGCTTGTCAGAGCCACTGGCTGCCTTCTTCCCTCAGCAGCCAGATCCCGTGGGAGTTTGCACGCAGCAGTGAGCCAGGAGAAGGGGCCACAACTGAGCACACACACAGCTGTGTGCCACCAGCTCTCTGTGCTGCCACGGGACACGTCATGGATGGGCTGCCAGGGCTGTGGTACCCTGGCACATTCCCAGGGGAAATGATGCTGTCCTGGGCATGGGGAGGACACGGGGGAGTGCTGTGTTTTGAACAGACTCTGCTCTGTGTGATGCTTTACTGCACTGTGCCTGAGTGCTGGCTGGCTCACCAAGGTCCCCTTTTTGGGGACATCCGTGTTCAGACACCCTACTGCACCCGGGCCAGCACGTCCTGCTTTCACAGGGCTCTTTGAAAAGCCTTGCAGTTGGTTTTGCAGTTGGTTTGGTTTCAGGAGAGCCAGGCAGGATTGCCCAGCTGGAGCTGTGAGGGCTGAGCAAGTCAGCACCCGTGCCAGGACACTGGGAGCTCCTTTGTAGTCCATCCCAGCCATGCAGTCATCCCAAACAGCCCGGTTTGGTGGGTGCTTTAGGAGGGGGTGCTGTGCTCAGGGCGAGTACAACCAAATGCTACTTCCCAACAGCAATTTGTGGCATAAGAAATATGATATTTCCCCTCCACCTCCTTTAATTCATTGATCAAAGGGATCCTTCACCAATAGCTTGAATTTACAGGATGTTTGCAAACTTTTCCTTCTAGGAGGTGTAAGGCTTTGCTCACAGATATGCTCATGTGGGTTTTGTCTTTGGTCACCCTGGGACCATCAGGACAAGCTGTAGTCCTGCCTTTATTTAGCAGCGCCAGGGTAGGTTTGTAAACTGTCAAAGTTAAACTGGAAACATACTCCAAACCTAAGAAGACCACAGAGCACAAAGGCATTTGTAAACTAATGTAATTACTCTTCTCAGTGCCTTTGAATAAAGTTGGCTCCAGTTTAAAGGTTTTTTCCTACCCTGTCTTTACATTATGTTCTTTCCTTTCTCCTGGTTTGTTACTTTTTAAATTTCTACCTCCCCCTCTTCCCCTCCTCCCTTTTAGCATCAAGCAGCTGTTAATTTCCAAAATATATCAGTTTTTGTTAGCAAAACTTGGTGTTTGGACATTTTCCTTGTGAAGGTGAGAATAACACCTTGGGAATCTGCTGTGCCAGGTTCTGGTAGCGTGGAGCCTGTCCAAGTGGGACTTCCCTGGGGCAGGAGGGAGCTTGCCCAGCCTGCCAGTGTCCCATGGCACCTAGCACCCACAGCTGTCCCTGTGTCCAGTGCCAGGCCATGCCCATGGCACCTGCGACCTTGAGATGTTGTGTGAAGCTTTATGTTAACTTAGGGTGATGTTTTCCAGTCTCTTTTGGGATTTCTCTCATGCAGATGTGAGCAGAAGTCAGAGTGAAGTGGGACAAGTGGGAAAACTGAGGATGAAACCTAGTCCAGCCCCACAAGGGACTCCTGTGTGTTAGTGATGCTTGTTGGGATAGCCACAGGCAGAGCAGATCTTGTGAGGGGAAATAGGAGGATGCAGAGCTGCTGGGTTGTACAAGAGAAGCATTTAATAATAAAACAGTTACAGATACTGCATAGTTTAAAGAGGAAATGTTATCTCTCTGGGGTCATTGCCCACGCTGTTACCCTTATCTGGGTGAACTCCTGTGGCAGAGCCTGTAAGGGCAGTGAGGAGCCATCAGCAGGCACGTGGGGGGTCCGGCCCTGGCCCTGCAAGGCTCCCAGCTACAAGGCTTGTGCATGCTGCAACACAGAGCTGGAGGGAGGAGGAGTTACTTTAGCATAAAACAGTGACCTTTTGTACAAAAGCAAAGTGCAGACTGAGCAGTTTTAGTTGCCCAGGAAGTTAACACTTTCTGCAGGCTTTTTCCCTGAAAAGCGAGGTTGATCTAAGAATTCCCTTTTCCTTCTTTGTTTTTGAGCATCACACAGACCTGTGCCAGCCCAGCTGCCAGCTGCTCCCATGCCAGGTCAGAAATGCTGTCAGCAGCCAGCTGGGCACAGAGGCAGGAACGCTGGCAGCCTGTGACCCTGCCCCTCCCAGTCTTGGGTCTCCCATCCAAGGAGCTGGGTTCATGCCATGGGAGCAGGGAACATGGATGAGAGAGAGCAGAAGGACACTCCATGCACAGGCATGGCCTAATGTCAGCCTGGGCAAGGAGTGTCCTGCTCTTCATCTGCCCTCTGGATGGATCTCTTGGGATAGAAATGATGTCCTGGGTGAAAGGGTCTGTGCATCCCTTTGGTTCAAGACTTTCCCCAGAAGGGGATGGTGACTGCAGAAAGCTGTTGGCAGGCATAGGGATTTTCTCCCCATGAGATGTTCCACAGGTACTGGGCAAGGATTGGCAGTTGCCTCTGCTCCATCCTCTCCATGAGCACTCCTCTAGAAGGTCCCTGCAGCTGATGCAGATCCAAAGCAAACCCTTTCAGGTTATTTCAGGCAACAGAGCACAGGTTGGAGCCTGTTGTATTTATTTTGTTTTGCTTCTCAAACCAAATTGCCCATCCCTGCCAAGCTATGTTTGCTGGTGTGATGGGAACCAGTTCCTGCAGTCCTGCTGGGAGTAAATGGAAAACTTCCCAGCGGAAGCAGGAGCGGAGCTGGGCACGTACGTCCTGCTGGATTGTGCTCCGGGAAGGCAGCACCCAGGCAGCTGAAGGAAGAGCTCCCATCCTTGGTTTTTGCCCAGGGTGAGCGTCTTGGGGCTCGTTGCCGTAGTAATTTGGCAGCTCTTCAAAAAAAAAAAGTAATTTATGGTCTGCACCGACTTCAAGGACTGGGTGGGCAAAAAAGCTTTGTTGCTTTTGCAAGAAATCAAAACATTGCAAGAAATCAAAACACAAGCTAACCAATGTGAGCACAGGGCACAGTGAACAGCCTCTCTGCACGTGGGGAGTTTGGCAGGAGAAGCCACAGGAGTGTGTGCGTGTGGGAACCTGGCAGCCCAGGAAAGGGTCTGGTGTGGCAGCTGGGGCATTGCAGGGGAGATTTTCAACTGCAAACTTGCTGCATGAACTTAGGGAACTCATTTAACATCATGATGCCGCAATTAGTCCTTTGCAATGTGTATATTTGCTACCTTGTGTAGCATGTCATAAGAATTTTAGTGTTTTTAATGTGCTTTGATGTTCCTGGATGAAGGATGCTCTATAAATGCAAAGTAAGTATTCTAATGTATGTAGTTTGTTTTCTTTTTAACATAACAAAATATTTCACAGCCATTCTTTCTCTGACAGTTTCCATAGCTGGTGGGTCTGTTTCTGCTGTGCCTTAGCAAAACAAATTTAGGGTTTTGCAGTGGCATATGCTCAGCATGTTCCTCAGCTTTGCAACATGAGCAGTTCCCTTGTCATCAGCACTGCAGACCTGCGTGTGGAAATCTGCTAAAATCTCCCTTTCTGGAAAACCTGATGATGGGGAAAGGTGGATAGTGACATCGGTTTGGGAGGATCCATAAATTGAGAAAACCACTGGAGCAGCTCTTGCTCTCAGGTAGTTCTGAATGAGAGCAGGGAGTGAGATGAATGGAGAGCAATTATTCCTGAATAAAGCTAGATTTGGATAGTTATTTTGGAATAAAAGGGTATTCCTTTTTGTAGAAGATGACTGTGTGTGAGCCACCCCCATCAGCCTGCAAGCCCATGGGTGAGCTCCCCTGCCAGCCAGCCCTGTGTGACCAGCCATGTCCCCACTCCTCCCAGTGGCCCACAGCACCCTGTGATCTGCAGATGCTGTGGGGCTCTGCAGGCAGGGGGGGCTTCTCTGGCCCAGGTGGTGCTTTCTAGGCCAAAGTCCAAAGCATACAGTGAGGGAAAAAGCTGATCAGAAACCATTGCAAATGAAGTGTTATTTGGAAAAAGCTCTGTGAAAGCTGCAGGCAGTGCAGCCACTCCAAAATGAATTGCTGATAGCTGAGGGAGCATCTCGGGGCTAATCCCACCATGGCAAAGGCAGAAAGCTGTGCACACTGGGAAGAACAGCCTGCATCTCTCCAGCCAGGAGCAGATTTAAGGAAGCCAGCCAGCCCTCTGCTTCTGCCCAAGCATCCAGAGACATCTGGGGCTGCAGTGAATCCGAGTCCCAGCTGAGCTTACCTTTACCCTTTCCTGGTTCTTCCCAAGCTGTTCAACGTCACCGTGGCCATTCTGGAGCGGATCCTCAGCCAGCGAGTCCCCTCCCGGTGCTGGCCCGGCCCTTGAGTGCACATCCCAGGTGTGGCAGTCGGAGGAGAGATGCTGGGGTTCAGGGTGTGCTTCCTCTCCGGGCTGCACTGCGCTCCCAGCGTCGGGCACGCTGTTCCTCAGCCTTTTTAATAGCTGATTTTAATTACACGCTCTGAGACGAAAGAGAAAAACTAAGCCTTCCAACAGATTTTATCTGCTGTTTATTTCCACAAATTGCTGCAGAAAAAAGCCCGGAGGGGTTTGATGGAGGTGGAGGCTGAGATAGCCGGCAACACGGAGACTGCTGGGGCGCAGCCTTTTTAACCTCCCTGCCGAGGCAGGTGCCGACACATCCCCGCAGCCGGCGCAATGCTCACGCTATGGAGGCTGACAGAGCAAACGGTAACGTGCCCACCTCGCCGGGGCTGCCACCCCCCTGCCTTGGAGGACAAAGGAAAACAAACCCAAAGCGGCTCCTGGCAGTGTTTCCCTGCTCAGAATCTTGGGGAAGACCCAGCGCTTGCTGCCTCAGGGGGTGGCTGCTGGCCGGGCACAGGGGCGTGGGCTCGGCCAGGGAACCCCACTGCAGTCCCCTCTTTTGTTCCGTAGGTGCACCAGTACTACAGCTGCCTGCCCGAGGACAAAGTTCCCTATGTCAACAGCCCCGGAGAAAAATCTCGCATAAAGCAACTTCTTCACCAGCTGCCACCACATGACAATGAGGTCAGTATCCAGAAAATGTCCTTGGACATGGCAGGGCTGCGGGTGGGGAATGGACGCTCCTCCTGGGGTTGCCTGTGGGAAGCGTGGCTTTCCTTTCTCAACTCCTTTTGCTTTTCAGGGGGATATACTTGAATTTCAGTCATGTTGCTATTTAAGTTGCTGTATTTGCTTCCTGCTTTGATTGTTGGAGGTGGGGAGTTGTTTGTTTCTAAAGTTAAATTTTTTTTAAGTCGTCTTTCTTCAGTTGTCTGAAATAAAAGCATTTCCTCAGCCCTTGGAAGCCAAAGCCCCGTTAAAAGTGGCTTGGAATGCTGTTGAGATTATCTAGAGACAGATCCAAAGTTGCAAAAGCCTTTTCCCAGGTGCTGCTTCCGACTCACCTTGGAGTGGGAGTGAGTGTGCTAAGGAGGGGCTTTCTGGGCTGAGCCTCACGAGCTGGGAGAGCCTGCGAGGCCACAGGTTGAGTCAAAACCAGTCAGAGCAAAATAAACCTTCTTACATCTCACAGGAATGATGTGAGGCAGCAAAAAGGGTCTGGTCTTAGACGGCCTGATCTCACCAGTGAGAAAAATGGCTTCTGGTAACCCACAAAATTTCCCTGTGTAAACAAAAAAAAAAAAATTTTCATGCTACTTTCTGAAGAAGCCACTCTGGGAAATACATGCAGGTAACTTGTTTGATCTCAGTCAGATTTTAACAAGTTCGCCTGCGTGTGGCTGGGTGCCATGGGCACAGCACTGTCAGCATGGGGGGAGCTCCAGGCACAAAGAAGGGACTTCTTCCTGTACACCCTTGGGTCCCAACCTGTCTGCCTGCTTCCCTGGCAGCTGCTGGAAACCCACAGCCTCTGACAGCCAAAGAACATAAAAAATAAATTAATTTGTGTGTAATAAATACACACGAATGCTGCTACTGCAGCCTGTTTTCCTGCAAGTTGTACTTGTAGGTCTGTGTGTATTTTCTGCAAATTGGCAGATTGTGCATCCAGTTTCCCTTCATGCTCAGTTTTGCTCCTTTTAACATACAAGGTGTGCTGGTTGCTCATGTGAATAACCCTGCTCAGCTCCATGAGCCTGCTCTCCCAAGTAACGGAGGGTGGATTGGGCACTGGTGCTACATTTGACCTCCCTGGCTCTTCAGTTGTATTCTCCATTGAAATGCAACCAGCCAAGAGCTAAGCCTGCAGGATGGAAATAGCCAGGAAAACCTCAGAGTTTTATAAGCTTCAGGGAAATTGCATCATTCATTGTTTGTATCCTTTTATTTTACTTATTTCCTTATTACCTTGCAATGCAGAGGTTTTGCAAATGAGCAGGCTTGATCCTGTGCTGGAAGAATAGTTCACAAGTCACTGGAACTCTGTCTTTTGTGCAGAGAAAAGGGTCTGTGCTCTAGAAATGCCAGTGGAATATTATGAAGACTTCTGCCACAGGAGGCTGATGGAGAAAGCAGGAAAACCCATCAATCCAGTTGCTGGTCTCTGGCTGGGTTTCTGAGAACCCAGCTTTTAAGACTTTTCTACAAATTGAGCACCCAAAGAGCAACAATCCTCCTATCTTTTTCTCATCTCAACCTCTTGAAATTGTGACCAAACCCCAGATATCTGAAGCCCATTGTTTCTCCAGCCTCCCCACAGTCAAGGGCAGAGGTTTGCAGGGCCCATGGAACATCCCTGCCTCACAGGGCAGCGAGCCAGGGACACCCCAGGCACTGAGCATCACTTGTGTTTTTTAGGTTCGCTATTGCAACTCACTGGATGAGGAGGAGAAGAGGGAGCTCAAACTCTTCAGCAACCAGAGGAAGAGGGAAAATTTAGGGAGAGGCAATGTCCGGCCATTCCCTGTAACCATGACAGGAGCCATCTGTGAGCAGGTAGGTAGTGGCTGATGAACTGGTACCTGCATCACCCAAGTTCAGTGAAACACATCTCCTCTGAAGTCAGGCTGAGAGAGTTGGGGCTGTTCATCCTGGAGAAGAGAAGTTCTGAGGTGCCTTAAAAACCTTTCTGGTACCTAAAGGGACTACATGAGAGCAGAACAGGGATTTTTTACAAAGGCATATACTGATAGAGGGAATGGCTTTAAACTGACAGAGGGCATGTTTAGATTGGATATAAAAAGAAATCCTTCCCTGTGAGGGTGTTGAGGCACTGGCACAGGTTGCCTAGGGAAGCTGCAGCTACTTCATCCCTGAAAGTGTTCAGGCCAGATTGGATGAGGCTTTGAGGAGCCTGGTGTGGTGGAAGGTGTCCCTGCCCATGGCATGGGGATTGGAACTGGATGATCTTCAGGTCCCTTCCAAATGACACCATTCCACAATCACAAAACAAGCATCTGCCTGTGGCCCTGCCAGGTGTGAGTGCTGGAGTGTGTCAGGGCACCTTTCAGGATATTTGATATGGAGTTGTCAGTTCAGCTCCTGGCACTGTGCAGGGCAGTGATTGTGAGACCATCCTGTTGGTGATGGGTGGCAGTGGGGTCACTCAACACCTCCATTAATCCCTGGCTTTTCTGGCAGTGCGGCGCAGGGCAGTGATTGTGAGACCATCCTGTTGGTGATGGGTGGCAGTGGGGTCACCCACACGCCTCCGTTAATCCCTGGCTTTTCTGGCAGTGTGGTGGCCAGATCAATGGAGGGGACATGGCCGTCTTCGCCTCACGAGCGGGACACGGCGTCTGCTGGCACCCTCCCTGCTTCATCTGCAGTGTCTGCAACGAGCTGCTGGTCGACCTGATCTACTTCTACCAGGATGGGAAGATCTACTGTGGCAGGCACCACGCCGAGTGCCTCAAGCCCCGCTGCGCCGCGTGTGATGAGGTAAGAGACAGCTCATGCCATGAGCTGCCGCCTGCTGGGGTGGTACAGGAGGGTTGGGTGGCATTTCCCCTCCATCCCTGACTTTTTCATGGAGGCATACACACCAAACTGATGGCTTGGTTCTGCCAAGGGTTCAAGCAAGCTTTTCCTGAGGTTTCAAATATTCTTAGTTGCCTTCTGCCTAGGACTGTTAGGAGTTAGGGCCTCATCTACACACAGGAAGCTGGGGGGTTTCCATGAGTGTTGGTTTCCATGAATGTTTTCAGTAGAAGCCCCCTGTCTTTGTGATTTTAGCCCAGCTGGCTGTGGTGATCCTCCCTTCTCCTCCATTGCCCCAGAAGAAGCCCCTGGTGGGATGAGTGCTGTGTTTCTTACAAGTCAGTCATGTCTGAGTACACACCGAGCTGAAATAGGCTTTGAGAGAGGCGATTAACAGGCTATAGGAAGCTGAACAAATAGAATACAAAACTGAGATAGAAAACCATACAGAGCTGTCTCTGAGCACTTCTCAAGTGTCAGTCTCTGTTTAAAAGGCTGGTGAAGGAAATTGCTCTGGTTTTTAAAGTTATGAAAACCATAGTGTGGAAAACCGTGTGTACTATAAATTACCACATCCCATCCTTGTAAGCATGTAATAGTAAATATCCAAGGCTATATGCACTTCAAATATAAAGAGCATTGATGTATGTGTCCAATTAAATTTGTAATGTTACCAGTGAAAGGCAACCCTAACCGTTCAACTGGCTCCATTTCTTTGTAGCTTAGGCTGGGTAATTTTTTTTTAATGTATTTTTTATCCCTGCAAATTCTTGTTTAATTTTTTCATTCAGTTCATTCTTCAGCATGCTTTTTTCCCCCTAAAACATCAAGTACTAATTGTGAGAAACAGTAATTCAGGGGTAGGAGGATCTGCAAGGGAAAACTTTTGGTGTAGCCTGTGCCAGCATAGAGCACCAGGGAGCAGATCTGGGCCTGCTGGCTCCCTTGGCTTTGGGAGCTGAGATGGGGTGGGGATGAGAAGAAGACACAGCAAGAAAGTATTTGCTGAAGACATTTTAGATGGCTGCTTCTCCAACTCATCCTTAACAGTGCTCTGTGCCTCAATTTCCCCACTGGTATAATGACTGCAATCACCTTTACAGTTATCCAGGCTGGGATAGCAGCAAGATGAGGAGCCAAAGTTCCTCCATATTTTTTCCTTTCCAGAGAGCTTCCACTTTTCCTTGTGTTTTTGCTCATCCTTTGTGGTCAGGTCCCTGTTTCAGAGATGAGTAAATGTGTTCCAGTAAGCAGCTGCTCTGTTCTTCAGAAGTCCACCAGATCGATAAGTTGTATATAAGTGTGTTTATTACCCTGATCGACCTCTCTGTTTGATGGGTGAGCTCACGAGCACATTACTGCAGCTCTGCCTTAACACTTTGTAGTCTGGGCACTAACACGCTTCTGAGGAATTTGCATTTTAATGGATTTTCCTAAGAAATGGTGGGTGCCCCTGCCACAAACCAAACTATGGGAGTTTCCCATGCAGGAAGAGGGCCCAGCTGCCATGTGGGGCAGGAGACACAAAGGTTGGTGTCTGCATCCCGGGTCCCTTTTCCCACCAGCTCTGCTCCACGCCTGCGTTTCTTCCCGCAGATCATTTTTGCCGACGAGTGCACCGAGGCCGAAGGGCGGCACTGGCACATGAAGCATTTCTGCTGCTTCGAGTGCGAGACGGTGCTGGGGGGCCAGCGCTACATCATGAAGGATGGGAGGCCCTACTGCTGCAGCTGCTTCGAGTCCCTGTACGCCGAGTACTGCGACACCTGCGCCCAGCACATCGGTACGCGCTGGGCCACGGCCCGTGGGGCTTGCTGCTGACCAGAGCTGTTGCATTGAGTCCTTGACAGCACCGTGGGGCTGCGGGCAGGACTGTGCATGGCTGGGGCAACCAAATATGCTTGTGCCTCTCTCCTGTCCCACTAAGGAGGTGACATGGTGATTTATTTGGTTAAACTGCTGTTTATCCCTTTTTGTAGTCAGAGAGGGGAGGATTATCAGAGGGCAGCTTCAGGAGCAATGGCAGCTAGTGAAAGCTTGCTCTGGCATAATAAAATTTCTCTGGCACATTTTTTTCCCTTTATATCTCATTTTCCTGTAAACAGCATGGCTCTTTGACTCAGATTTTTCCCATCCAAGCTTGGCAAAGGATCACATGATTTGATGAGCTACTGTCAGAAAAGATGCTTGTTCATTAGGCATCATTATTGTTTCTGGGCCTTTTTCAATCAACTTGCAGATAGATGTTCTCAGGGAGAAAGAAATAATGCATCAGGGTCAATTTATGTTTCTAGAACAGTGATTTAAAAGGCACTTCAGTCAGGGGGCTAGATGTCCCCAAGCTGGGTGGGCTGGGAAGCCCCTTTCTGCTCTCCCCAGCTCCCTTTGCCACTTGGCTGAGCGCAGTGAGCATGCAGACAGTCCTTCCTTTGTCCATGGAGGTGAGCTGTTCAAATACTTAATATGCTGCAGAAGAAAAAAAACCAAACATTTTCCTGCTGTGCGGCAGCCAGATGGCACAGGGAGGGGAAAACACAGGGTTTTCAGTGAAGCACTTGGAAGATGCATCTACTGTGACCTGCAGCACATCCTTTCCAAAAGCTCAGCTGCAGAAAGGTGAAAAAGCAGCTGATAATGTTTCTTGCATGGTCCCTTCTCTTGTGCTTCCCCCATCTGCTGTCCTTCACTCCAGCTGGCCTGCTGGAGACTGCTGACTGTCAGGTTTTCAGGGTAAAATGTCTGGTTTAGGTGCATATTTGCACATTTCTAGCAAAGGAGGGACTGCAACCATTTTGCTGCAAGTCTCTCATAGTAGTGAACAGAGCACTGTGCCAACAAGCTACATAAATCAGAGGTAAGCATGTGATGAGGCTTGTAAGGCTTGGGTTGGGTAGATGAGGATGGAGTATGGAGGCTGCACTGCTTCCTCTGCAAGATGGCTTTGGGCAGTGGAAAAGGAGCTGATTAAATCCCACCCACCATCTTGTCTCTCTTTTACCCACAATATAGCACTCCCATCTGTATAAAAGCATTTTGCTCACTATAACGAGAGGAAAAAACCTATTATACTAAACCTAATTTAGCTTGGAATAAAACAGACCATTAACACAGTGTTCATTTATAAGTTACCTGGCAGCACTTGGCCCCACAGCGGGTGAGCAGGCACGTGCTGTGCACATGTGGCGTAGCACCCGCCGTGCCAGCCAGCCCACACCGTGCATGGCAGCTCCTCAGGGAACGGGGGCAGCGAGGGCTTTGGCCAGGAGCAGCAGCTTAAACAAGAGTGCAAATGTCATAACTGAAACCTCTGGAGCTTTGCTCACGGCTCTGACTGAGAGCACTGTGCAGATGTTGCTCCCAGGGGTTTGGCTGGAGGGAGACAGACTGTCTGTGTCAATTCTTTTTCTGAACCCAAGTGGGGCCTGGTGAAGCAACCCAGGAAATGTGGCTGGGTGCAAGGCAAGGATGTGTGCTCAACCCCTGGGGCCAGCTCTTTTGAAGCCAAAATAAAGTTAGGATGGGACCACAGTAGCAGCAAGGGACAGGGTTGTCATCTGCTCTGTTACATACTTAACTAAGGCAGAACAAATTCCTCATTATGGTTTAGCTGCAGGCTTTTTTATTTTTTTAATAAGCAGCATATTGCTTTTACTTCAAGGACTTTATGGAGAACTTCTTGCATTCCTTTGCTTTATGATCGGAAATATCCCCATTTAATACAAAATAGCTTGAGGCATGGTTCTGCTGCCTTTCCCAACACTGAGTAACTCCCAAGCAAAGGCCTGGAATTAGAATTGGGAGGAATTAAAAATGGGATTAACTTCATGCATCGGAGAAATCCTGAAAAAGGGCTCTCAAGATCAAGGCTGAGTTCATGTCACTCCTAGGGGATCGTAGTGTCATAGTTTGGGTTGGAAGGGACCTTAAAGGTCATCCCATTCTAGCTGCCCACCATCAGCAGGGATACTTTCCACTAGACCACATTGCTCAGAAACCCACCCAGCCTGGCCTTGGTGCAGGTGTTAAGTGCAGTGCTAGATGACCCTGACTCTGATCCTCTCCCTCAAGGTATTGACCAGGGCCAGATGACGTACGACGGCCAGCACTGGCACGCCACCGAGACCTGCTTCTGCTGTGCCCAGTGCAAGAAGTCTCTGCTGGGACGGCCCTTCCTGCCCAAGCAGGGGCAGATCTTCTGCTCCAGGGCCTGCAGCATTGGTGATGACCCCAACGGCTCTGACTCCTCCGACTCGGCTTTCCAGAGCGCACGAGCCAAGGAATCGCGCCGCAGCGCCAAGATCGGCAAGAACAAGGGGAAGGGCGAGGAGGGGGCACGCAGCCCCTGCAACCAGCTGCAGGTCACCTCCAACCGCCTCTCCACCGACGTGGACCCGCTGTCCCTGCAGATGGATCTGCTGAGCCTGGCCAGCCAGACACCCAGCCTCAACAGGGACCACTTGTGGAGGAGCCGGGATGAGCTCTATCACTATGGGGGCAAAATGGAGCAAAGCCAGTCTCAAACCCCCTTGCAGCTTCTCAGCCAGTGCAACATAAGAACCTCCTATAACCCCACCCAGGTCCCAGGCTCGCAGTCGGATTTATGGGCAAAACACTTCAGCAACCAAAAGAGGAGCTCCTCGTTGGCCATGAAGAGCCACGGTGGCAGCTTCATCCAGGACTGCAGAGAGGACTACTACTCAGGGAGGCTCCGCTCGCAGGAGAGCTACAGTGACATGTCCAACCAGAGCTTCCCAGAGACCAGAGGAAGTGTCAAAGTCCCCAAGTACGAAGAGGAAGAGGAGGGTGGGATGCCAGCGTCACAGTGCCGCACCCGTCACCCCATCAGTGCCCTCAAGTTCACAGAGGACCTGACGCCCACCGAGCAGACTCCCCGGGGCTCCATGGAGTCCCTGGCGCTCTCCAATGCTACAGGTATGTCACCCCTGCTCCTGCCACCCTGAGACCACCCCGGCACACCCTCCATGCAATTAATCCCTTGTGTTCTGGTGTCTTCCCAGTGACACAGGCTTGTCTGCCAGGCCCCAACAAGCCTGACAGTTCCTTTCCATTTGTTTGCTTGTTTACCAAATGCAGAGCTTTATAGATGGCTGGCCTTTCTGTGCAACCCAAAACAAATGTTTTCAGACTTTAATTCTCCCTTTTGTGAAGAGAGGGGGAAAATCAAGGCCAACTGCTAATGAAGAGGCAGATTCCAGCTTTCAGTACTTGAAGGACTGCTGTCAGCTGCCCTTGCAGGCTAAAAATATTTTTAAATGCCTTGAAATAGGCCCAGTTAACCCCTTTTGAATGTTATGCAGTCCTCAAGCACGTGACTAGTTAAAAGAAATTCCTCTCCCTCTATGCACAGCTCTTTAATTCCTCTTCCCCAGCCCCTTGGTAGAAACTGCAGGGAAAAGCCAGGCAAGATGCTTGTCCCATCAGGCTGAGCTTGTTTCTCACGAGCACATCCCAGGGTCATATTTCTCAGTCCTCTCACCCTAAACATGTTTGGGTTTCACTCGTGGCTGCAGGGATGGGTGTGTGTGTGCATGGACGTGTCTGGTCTGCAGCTGGCTCTGGGCAGGCTCTGTCCTTCCTGCAGCCTGCTCTGCTTTGCTCGCCCACCACAGCTCCCACGTCCCTCAGCACAAAACTGCTCAGGAAAGAGTAGTTTTGTAATAATTCTGAGCCTGGTTTGCTCACCAGAAAAGCTGCCTTGCTTTTTCTTTGCAGCTCCCCTGGCTTTTCTCTGTTTCAGCCAATCCTTGCTTGGATTTGGGCAGGTCCTGCATCTGAACCCCTGCAAAATGGAGCCCTTCTGCCTTATTGCTGGCAGGGAGGGGCCTGTGGGGTGTTTGTGCCTGGTCCTGAGGGTCCCCCACAGGTTGCTGGCAATGGGTGGTGAGGATTGCCAAGCCCACAGGGAGCTGAGCCCCCCTGAATCCCAGTTCTGGGCTCTGCCCTGCCTGGATGGACAGGTTTGCTCTGCTATGCCCGTGCCTCCTCATCTGGGGTTTGGTGTGTTTGTTTAGGGAAGCTGCCAGCCCCATGCCAAGATGTGAAATGATCTCTGTTTCAGCCAGGATCTCCCTATCCAGCAAGAGAAAAAACAGGGGTGGGGGGGAGGAGAGGAGAAGCTAATGATCTGGGAAGGGTTTTGCTTAAACAGTCTCTGATATACACAGAGGAAAAGTAGATGTGAAATAGAGAGGGAATTGGGAATTGCTCTCCAAAACAGGGTTTTCTAAGCAAAGCTTGACATTTCCAAAACCTTTTGTGTTCCTGAAAACTTGTGTTGTGTAAACCCCATAAGTACAAAGAGTCTTGAGCAACACCAAGCTTGGATGAGCAATCCCTGAGCAGTGGAGTGGTTGTTGCATGCTTTGGAGCTGAAGTGTAACATATTATTTGGGATATAGGTCAAGACACAGAAAATATGGCAAGGCCTCCATATCACAGTGAAAAACACTCTGCCTTTCATTTTAGAAACCTCTTTTTAAAATGCTGGGAGGGAGACCTCCCAAAGGCATCTGTCCACCATACAGAGCCAGAGTCTGAGTTTCCTCAGGGACAGTGACTGCCTTAATGGCTTGCTGTGTTCCAGCTTTCTGGAGCAGATGCTCAGCGTGATGGGGCTTGCAGTGAGTGTTCATAGTTCCTCTGCAGAGTGAGGTGATAATATTTTTATTAATGTGTAAGGTTCTAATAATTTTCCTTGCTCTGGGAGCTGGCTCAGCTGAGCTAGGGGCACTGCAGCAGCAACAGGCAGCTCCCCCAGGGCCATGTCTGCAATTATGGAGGACACAATTATCATCCCATTTAATTGGCAGTGTTATGAGGACAGGGACATTTGGTGACCTGGATGAGGTCTGTGAGAGAGCAGGTTTTTGGTCAAGTGATGTCAGGGCACAGCACCCTGCTGCCTGGCTTTTCCCATCCCTGCACTCCCTGCTGTTGATCAAGCTCCCCACAGAGCTCCCCCCAGCCACAGCCTGGGGGTCTGCCTCACCCCATGTCCTCCAGTGCTGCTTTGCCAGAACCTCCCAGGCATCCACATACAAAGTCCCTTTGAGCTACCAGTGCTGCAGAATTGCTCCACCTTTCACTTTGAAATAATTAACACCGTATCCATCTAAGGTTTTATGGCATCACTGAAAACAGTCTGTTTTTTATAGGGAGCTGAAGGGCAAACAGTCCCTGACCTGGAGAGCACATGTTACAAGCTGGTACCTCCCTGGCAGCGGATTTTGCTGTGATGTTTCTACTACGACTGAACTGCTAATTAACCAGAGGCAGTCAGCAATGCAGATAACTGAGAGCTGTGCAGCACTAATCCCTGGCCTTTGGCCGGAAGGCTGCCTGCTGTGAGCAGATGTTGCTCCCTGTAATATTTCAGGGTCAGCCATTGTGTGGGTCAAGATCTGCATGACCCCAATCTCCTTCAAGACCCCAGGTTCCTACCTTACCAAAGGGCCCTATTTAATCTCTTTAAAGCCAATTCCCCATGGGTTTGTAAAGAGGTGAGACACTGTGTTAATCCTGGGCACGTGCCCTTACAGTGCTGGGCTGTGCTCTGCTGTCACCATGGGCAGTGTGCAACAGCAGACACGTCAGTGGCAAGGGTGGCTGTGACCCTGCTTGTGCTCTGTGCTGGGATTGGAATTAGGTGGGAGTGTCTCTGCTGTGCTCTGGTTTGTGCTTGTGTAATTGCCACAAATGCTGATGGGATTTAAGCACATCCAGTGGCAAAGGGCAGTGTCTCCTGCTGGTGGAGGGCATCTCTCCTTCCCTTCCATGTTTCTGTTTGAACATCCCTATTCTGCCATAAGAAGGCTACAACAGACTCCAATCTGCTACAGCTTCTTAGACTCTATCCTCCTGCATTACATGGACATTAGATGGAGAAGCAAAAAGGAAACTTTTTTCTCAGCCTATTTTCTAAGAGAGAGCTCATTTTTGCTGATTTTCTTTTATATTATCTTTTATATTGTGCTTCCTTTGTCTACTTTTGGGGGTTTTCGGTTGTTGGGTGTTTTTATGGCAGTAACAAGAACAAAAACCAGTGGATCCTGTAGCAATGTTTGCCTTGTACCTCCCTGCATTAGGCAGTTGAGACAATGCTAAGATGGAATTTGTCCATCTTAGGAAGGTTTGCTCATGATGAGAAGCCTGATCCTACCAGAGGTTAATCACTTCCCAAAAGATTCTTGGCCCATCAGCCCTGCTCCCTCTGTTTGTGTTTCCCTCCAGAAAGGTTTTGCAGTCACTGCATGTGCCTGGCAGTGGAATTGGAAATCAGGAGCTGAGCTCTGCTGATTCCAAGCAGTTATTTCCACAAAACGACAGCTGGTCAAATAGCCCATTTAAGAAAGTACCTGCAGGCTAAATGTTGTTCTCTGGAAACAGTCCCTTTGTGTGCTGCTTACAGAGAGCAGGAGCCTTTTGGAGGTAGAAGTCATGTTGAATGCTGACACTGCTGCATGCAAAAGGAGAAACAGATTTTAAGGATTCCTTGAGAAAATGAGTTTGGGTGAGGGGAACATCTGTCACAGGCATAAATCTATTTTAAAAATATGTTAAACTGGTGCTGTTACAGGGTGGAATGTGATTTCATTTGTATGGCACACACTGTGCTTGTCATCATGTGTTGTGTGATGCCCAAAGGCCCCAAATAGTTTGTTTTTCCAGGACTAGACAAGTGTGATATAACCAGAAAGCAGAGAGAACAGGGCTGATCCCTGCACGTCTGAGCTGCAGAGTGACAGAACAGCGTCATCTGTCTCCAGTCCCTTTTCTTCCTCTGCCTGCAGAGGAGCTAAAAGCTGCAGGGCAGGTCTGGGTGCTGGTCTCCCTCCTTGTGTGCTCCTCTCTCCCCTGGGCTGGAGAGGGCAGCTGCCCCAAGTGCTCCAGCTGAGTTATGCAGTGCAGAAAGTGACACATTGGCTGTTCCTGACTTTTTCTATGAAAAAAAGAAGCTCCCAGCTCTCCACCATGTTCTTATAACTCTCTTTCTCCCAGACACAGCCAGCACAAATCTGCTTCCAAGTTGGAAGATCTTCCCCTGGGGGGAATTCTTGCAATTTTGAGGCCCAGGTATAACATTTCCTAATTGAAAACAGATAATTTCAAAACTGATATGAAGATAAAGGTTTTCCACTCCAAAGGCCTGATGCCAAACCACTTTAAAGCTGTCAGGAACATTTCTTCTCCCCCTCACTTACCTTTTGCCACTCAGCAGTGGGAGGTTTGGTGTTTCTGCTGTGGGGCCAACCTCTTGCATGTCTTCACCCCTTCAGTGTCACACGTGGACAGTGCAGAGCAGGTGGGGTAATGCAAACCAGAGGGACAACCAAAATGGGCTCTGGAAGATGTTCTTGGGGGAGCATCATCCCCAGCATGGCTTGTTGGCCATCAGCTGGGGAGGGTGCAGGAGGTGGGAGTGCTGGTAAAGGAGCTGTATGGGGGCTTCCAGGTTAAAATCCAACTCTTTTCCAAGCAGCAAGGGACTTCTTCCACCAAGGAAAGGACTGATTGGGTGGGAAATACCCAATGACATCCATGGGTCACACATGGGGACATAACCTAGGAGGCTGGTGGGATTGTGACCCACTTGGTGGGGGCTGTGCTTTCCCCCAGATTGTTTATTTTCCATGATTTCTAGTTACATGAAGGTTCTGCTTTATTTCTGCATGCCCTGAGGTTGTTCAGAAGTGAGACAGGGCTGAGCTATAAACAAAGCTCTGTGCAGGCTGTTTTCTTCTTAAATTTCTTTTTAGTTCTACAGATTGACCTTGAAATAAACCCTGTTTGAGGGGTGGTGAGGATGCCTGATGCTGTGTGAGAGAGAAGGCTCTGGCACAGGGGGCTGGACACCAGAGATGCTGTGCTGTATCCTCCTGTGCATCTATAGCTGCATTTAAACATTGGCTGTC